TTTTGGAAGAGTTTGAGAAGGGTGGGTGTTAGCTCTCCTCTAAATGTTTGATAGAATTTGCCTGTGAAGCCATCTGGTCCTGGGCTTTTGTTTGTTGGAAGATTTTTAATCACAGTTTCAATTTCATTACTTGTGAATGGTTTGTTCATATTTTCTGTTTCTTCCTGGTTCAGTCTTGGAAGTTTATACCTTTCTAAGAATTTGTCCATTTCTTCCAGGTTGTCCATTTTATTGGCATAGAGTTGCTTGTAGTTGTCTCATAGGATGCTTTGTATTTCTGCTGTGTCTGTTGTAACTTCTCCTTTTTCATTTCTAATTTTATTGATTTGAGTCCTCTCCCTCTTTTTCTTGATGAGTCTAGCTAATGGTTTATCAATTTTGTTTATCTTCTCAAAGAACCAGCTTTTAGTTTTGTTGATCTTTGCTGTTGTTTTGTTTCTATTTCATTCATTTCTGCTCTGATCTTTATGATTTCTTTCCTTCTGCTAACTTTGGGTTTTGTTTGTTCTTCTTCCTCTAGTTCCTTTAGGTGTAAGGTTAGATTGTTTATTTCAGATTTTTCTCGTTTCTTGAGGTAGGCTTGTATAGCTATAAACTTCTCTCTTAGAACTGCTTTTGCCGCATCCCATAGGTTTTGGATCGTTGTGTTTTCACTGTCATTTGTCTGTAGGTCTTTTTTGATTTCCTCTTTGATTTCTTCAAAGTGATCTCTTGGTTATTTAGTAACGTATTGTTTAGCCTCCATGTGTTTGTGTTTTTTACATTTTTTTCCCTGTAATTGATTTCTAATCTCATAGCATTGTGGTCAGAAAAGATGCTTGATATGATTTCGATTTTCTTAAATTTACTGAGGCTTCATTTGTGATCCAAGATGTGATCTATCCTGGAGAATGTTCCGTGCACACTTGAGAAGAAAGTGTAACCTGCTGTTTTTGGATGGAACGTCCTATAAATATCAATTAAATCTATCTGGTCTATTGTGTCATTTAAAGCTTCTGTTTCCTTATTAATTTTCCATTTGGATGATCTGTCCATTGGTGTAAGTGAGGTGTTAAAGTCCCCCACTATTATTCTGTTACTGTTGATTTCCTCTTTTAGAGCTGTTAGCAGTTGCCTTATGTATTGAGGTGCTCCTATGTTGGGTGCATATATATTTATTATTGCTATATCTTATTCTTGGATTGATCCCTTGATCATTACGTAGTGTCCTTCCTTGTCTCTTGTAACATTCTTTATTTTAAAGTCTATTTTATCTGATATGAGTATTGCTACTCCAGCTTTCTTTTGATTTTCATTTGCATGGAATATCTTTTTCCATCCCCTCACTTTCAGTCTGTATGTGTCCCTAGGTCTGAAGTGGGTCTCTTGTAGACAGCATATATATGGGTCTTGTTTTTGTATCCATTCAGCAAGCCTGTGTCTTTTGGTTGGAGCATTTAATCTGTTCATGTTTAAGGTACTTATCAATATGTATGTTCCTATTACCATTTTCTTAATTGTTTTGGGTTTGTTTTTCTAGGTCCTTTTCTTCTTTTGTGTTTCCCACTTAGAGAAGTTTCTTTAGCATTTGTTGTAGAGCTGGTTTGGTGGTGCTGAATTCTCTTAGCTTTTGTTTGTCTGTAAAGCTTTTGATTTCTCCATCGAATCTGAATGAGATCCTTGCTGGGTAGAGTAATCTTGGTTGTAGCTTCTTCCCTTTCATCACTTTAAGTATATCATGCCACTCCTTTCTGGCTTGTAGAGTTTATTCTGAGAAATCAGCTGTTAACCTTATGGGAGTTCCCTTGTATGTTATTTGTTGTTTTTCCCTTGCTGCTTTCAATAATTTTTCTTTGTCTTTAATTTTTGCCAATTTGATTTCTATGTGTCTCGGTGTGTTTCTCCTTGGGTTTATCCTGTATGGGACTCGCTGCACTTCCTGGACTTGGGTGGCTCTTTCCTTTCCCATGTTAGGGAAGTTTTCGACTATAATCTCTTCAAATATTTTCTCTGGTCCTTTCTCTCTCTCTTCTCCTTCTGGGACCCCTATAATGCGAATGTTGTTGCATTTAATGTTGTCCCAGAGGTCTCTTAGGCTGTCTTCATTTCTTTTCATTCTTTTTTCTTTAGTCTGTTCCACAGCAGTGAATTCCACCATTCTGTCTTCCAGGTCACTTATCCATTCTTCTGCCTCAGTTATTCTGCTATTGATTCCTTCTAGTGTAGTTTTCATTTCAGTTATTGTATTATTCATCTCTGTTTGTTCTTTAATTCTCCTAGATCTTTGTTAAACATTTCTTGCATCTTCTCAGTCTTTGCCTCCATTCTTTTTCCGAGGTCCTGGATCATCTTAACTATCATTATTCTGAATTCTTTTTCTGGAAGATTGCCTATCTGCATTTCATTTAATTGTTTTTCTGGGGTTTTATCTTGTTCCTTCATCTGATACATAGCCCTCTGCCTTTTCATCTTGTCTATCTTTCTGTGAATGTGGTTTTTGTTCCACAGGCTGCAGGATTGTAGTTCTTCTTGCTTCTGCTGTCTGCCCTCTGGTGGATGAGGCCAAGAGGCTTGTGGAAGTTTCCTGATGGGAGGGACTGGTGGTGGGTAGAGCTGGCTGTTGCTCTGGTGGGCAGAGCTCAGTAAAACTTTAATCTGCTTGTCTGCTGATGGGTGGGGCTGGGTTCCCTCCCTGTTGGTTGTTTGGCCTGAGGCAACCCAACACTGGAGCCTACCCGGCTCTTTGGTGGGGCTGATGGCAGACTCTGGGAGGGCTCACGCCAAGAGGTACTTCCCACAACTTCTGCTGCCAGTGTCCTTGTCCCTTGGTGAGCCACAGCTGCCCCCTGCCTCTGCAGGAGACCTTCCAACACTAGCAGGTAGGTCTGCTTCAGTCTAATCTGGGGTCACTGCTCCTTCCCCTGGGTCCCAATGTGCACACTACTTTGTGCGTGCCCTCCAAGAGTGGAGTCTCTGTTTCCCCCAGTCCTGCCAAAGTCCTGCAATCAAATCTCGCTAGCCGAAGTCTGAGTCTCTAGGAATTCCTCCTTCCGTTGCCAGACCCTCAGGTTGGGAAGCCTGACATGTGGCTCAGAACCTTCACTCCAGTGGGTGACTTCTGGGGTATAAGTGTTCTCCAGTTTGTGCGTCACCCACCCAGCAGTTATGGGATTTGATTTTATTGTGATAGCACCCCTCCTACCGTCTCACTGCAGCTTCTCCTTTGTTTTTGCATGTGGGGTATCTTTTTTGGTGAGTTCCAGTGTCTTCCTGTTGATGACTATTCAGCAGTTAGTTGTGATTCTGGTGTTCTCGAAAGAGGGAGTGAGAGCATGTCCTTCTACTCCACCATCTTGAACCAATCTCAAGCTTTTTAATTTGATGTTGTCCAAATTGTTTATTTTTGCTTTTGTTGTTTGTGGAGGTTTGTTTTAAATAATTTGCATTTGTGCTGCTAACTCTAACCTAGTCATCTAAAAGCTAAGGTTTACCTAGAAAGTGCATGGAACAAGAGGGAGGCAATTTAATCCCTGAGCAAAACTGGGCTTGATACCTCCATTCCTTACCCTTTGAGAAAGTAAACATTCCAGAGGAAAGAGTTCGAGAAGGCAGATTGCCAATCCTAATAAAAATATTCTCTCAGTAGGCTGATGTAGGTCTTCACTCAAAGGATGGAGGGGGCTTCCCTGGTGATGCAGTGGTTGAGAGTCCACCTGCTGATGCAGGGGACACGGGTAAAAAAAAAAAAGGATGGAGGACATTGATTGGGAATTCAGCTGGCTTTCTTGGCCCACTCCCCCTTAAATACTGATGATGCTGAGTTTGATCCAAAGGTGGTTATCCATCCTCTAGCTATTCAAGGCTCACTACAAAGTTCTTTGGATATAATGGATATCCTCACCTACATCTCCTTGATCCAGGAAAATGAGAATGATGTGGCAGAAATCTACTGTGGAAATCTACCAACCAGAGGAAAGATAAGAAATTCTCCATATTTTGGGACTTCCCTGGTGGTCCAGTGGTAAAGAATCTGCCTTACAATGCAGGGGACACAGGTTCAATCCCTGGTCAGGGAACTAAGATCCCACATGCTGCGGGGCAACTAAGCCCGTGCACCAGCTACTGAGCTTGTGCACCTCAACCAGAGAGCCCACATGCCGCAAACCACAGAGCCCATGCAGCCTGGAGCCCGTGCACCACAATGAAAGATCCTGCATGCCTAAGCGAAGGTCCCATGTCCCACAACTAAGACCTGACAGAGCGAAAAATAAATACAATAAATAATAAATCTTAAAAAAAAAAAAAGAAATTCTCCATATGTCTAAGGCAAGAGAACAGAGCTGGGAAAGAAAACGTCAGGTAGAGCCTCTGAGACAGCAGAGACAGCAACGATGATTATAAAGCTCTTTCCTTTTTTTTTTCGGCCGCACCACACAGCATGCAGGATCTTAGTTCCTCGACCAGGGATCAAACCTGTGCAGTACAAGCACGGAGTCTTTTTTTTTTTAATTTATTTTTGGCTGCGTTGGGTCTTCATTGCTGTGCGCAGGCTTTCTCTAGTTGCGACAAGCGCTGGCTTCTCATTGTGGTGGCTTTTCCTGCGGAGCACGGGCTCTAGGCGCGTGGGCTTCAGTAGTTGTGGCACGCGGGCTCACTAGTTGTGGCTCGCGTTCTAGAGCGCGGGCTTAGTAGTTGTGGCACATGGGCTTAGTTGCTCTGCAGCATGTGGGATCTTCCCTGACCAGGGCTCGAACCCGTGTCCCCTGCATTGGAAGGCAGATTCTTAACCACTGAGCCACAAGGGAAGTCCCAGAAGCAAGGAGTCTTAACCACTGGACCACCAGGGAAGTCCCTAAAGCTCTTTTCTTTGAAAATAATAAACTGAGTACAAGAAAATTAAAAGGAATTCCAAACAAGCTATAGGACAGTGACACTGGGGTGACATAAAAAAGACAATTAAAATAAATTTACCAGTGAATCTACAATTATTTCAAAATAAAAAGTTTTAAGAAATCTTTTACCTGAAGCCAACATAGTCTCCCATGACGACACACATTAGCTCCTTCTGCTGCCACACTCAGGACACTTTGCTTCTTGATGTGGAGCATCTGGTAAGAAAAGGAAGAAAATAAAAATCTCCAGGAAATAAATGTTGCAATTATGACATCATGAATGGCAGAAGTAAAATGGCTAGAAATAAACAAAATGGATCATATTTTTTTAAACTTACAAAATCCGAAACACATGTCTGCTTCACACACACACACACAAATCACACTGAATGCTTCTGTTCCTCTTTTCAGGGTTCACAAAGTTATTCCACAACTGGAAAATAAATCATTCATACTGCAAATGCTAATAAGAGTTGAAAACTCAGATACCTTTTGTTACCACTGGTGTTACAGCAAAAGGTTTCTAGTCTTTATGGCAAGATTCCTCATGCAAAGAACAGCAATTTACTAAGGGAACTCACACAGTGGCTGAGTCTCACAGTATCTACTGTTCAGAATGAGAAAAACACAGACTTAACAGGTCCTTTAAAGTCTTGGATTCATTAAATTATTCAAAACTGAAATAGGGGTATCCTGGAAACATATTCTGGTCCTCTTATTATCTATATTCTTATCATATTTCAAAACATTATACAATTCTAAAATCTTTACTGCATAATCCATGAAAATATCTGCATGGCACAAGATTCTCCCCATTTTACAGGTAGATAAATTACTCAAGAATAGAAAGGCAAAGTAACTTACACTAGCACAATATCTTCCTTTACAGAGCATAAAGTGTTCTATATTCTGAGTATCTTTCATCAATGATAAAAGAAGGGGACTGAACTTCAGTTCCATTCTCAATCAACAAGAAGGCTGCAAAACTGGGAACAAAAGCTGTATTTCCCTATTGATAAGAATTTCCAACTAACTCTTTAAATTTCCGGAGCAAAAGTTCTTATCCTATTATTTGTTGTTGTTGTCATGGACCCTTTAAAGCATCTGTTGATATATAAAAATTCTTGTAACTCAATTAAAATGGCAAATGAATAGATATTTCTCTAAGAAGATATACAAATAGCCAATAAGCCTATATGGGAAAAGAGTCTAAAAAAGAGTGCATATATGTATAGGTATAACTGATTCACTTTGCTGTACACCTGAAACTAACACAACATTGTAAATCAACTATACTCCAACAAAAATTTTTTTAAAAAAGAAAAAAAATAGCCAATAAACACATGAAAATATGCTTAACACTATTAGCCTTCAGGGAAATGCAAATCAAAAACACAATGAGATACTACTTCACACCACTAGGATGGCTATAATTAAAATGGCAGATAATAGTGTCGGTAAGAATGTGGAGAAACTGGAACCCTCACGCCCTGCTGGTGGAAAAGTAAAGTGGTGCAGTGCTTTGCAAAACAGTATGGCCAATCCTCAAAAAGTTAAACACAGAGTTATTACATGAGCCAGCAATTCCACTTGTAAGTATCTATCCAAGAGAAATGGAAACGTGTCCACACAAAAACTTGTATATGTATGTTCACAGCAGCACTATTCATAATAGCCAAAAAGTAGAAACAACCCAAATGTCCATCAAATGGTGAAAGGATAAATGAAATGTGGTATATCCATACAAAGGAATATTATTTGGCAACAAAAATAAGTGAAATACTGATACACGCTATAACATAGATAAACCTTGAAAATATTATGCTACGCAAAAGAAGCCAAGCCAATCACAAATGACCACACATCGTATGATCCCATTTATATGAAATATCCTAAACAGGCACATTCATAGAGGCAGAAAATAGATTAGCGGTTGCCAGGGGCTGGGGGTACTCAGAAGGGATTAGAGGTGTTAGCTAAGGAATATGGGGTTTCCTTTTGGAGTATTAAAAATGTTCTAAAATTCACTGTGGTGATGGATGTACAATTCTGTGAATATGCTAAAATCCAGTGATGTGTACATTTTAAATTGGTAAATTTTATGGCATGTGAATTATATCTCAATAAAGCTGTTTAAAAACCAAAGAATCTGCTGAAAGCTAACCCTCTCTTAAAAAATACATCTGTGCATACACGAGCATAAGCTTGCTCCTAAACAAAAAACTTAACGACTTCCCTAAAGTCTAACTGTGAACCATAGCCTAGCTGAATAATTAGTTACTGCCGTATCTCAAATTAAAAAAATATTATAGAGAAATTGCCTAAATAGAGCATCTAGACTGGTCTTTTAAAAATATAAGTAAAAAAATTTTTGACTCTCCTCTAAAACTGCCAATGGCTCTCCATCTTACTCAAGTCGAACTCAAAATCCTTATGTCTACCTGACCTGCCTCCTGCCCCCTTCCATTCCCTAACATTCTTTTTCACTGTGGTCCTGCCACAATGACCTCCCTGCTGTTCCTCCACACAAGTCAAGTGTGCTTCAGCCTCAGGGCCTCTGCACTTGTAATTATGCCTTCTTTAAGTTTTTTACTAGATATCCACATGGTTAGCTCCCTTACTTCTTTTAGATCTCTGTTCCAATGTCACCTCTTCACAGAGGTTTTCTCTGTCTACCCTAAATAAAATAGGAACTCCCTGTCATTCCATTCACCATACTACACTTTTTTTTCATAGCACTTACCACTAGTTGATATACAATTATGTGTTTATTTTCTTGCATTAAAATAAGCTCCTTCAGGGCTAGAACTTTGTCTTATTATTATAACCCAGACCTCAGAACAATGCCTGGCAAACAGCCGGCTCTCAGATGTTTTGTTAACTCATTAGGAAAAACACTAATGATCTTATAATAAGAGAGAAATTTATGAGACATAGACATGATACCCATTTGCAGACAATACGGAGAATGACTGAGGGCAATACTTACTGCAGCACCAAATTTCTGCTGGAACTGATCAATGACTGTGTATGTCACCTCCTCTTCCTCTACAGGAGAATATTATTATATATATTTATCTTCCTTGGCAATAGAATAGCCCTCCCACTAATTTTAGCCATAATCCTAAAGTCCTACTCTATTGCAACTCAAATGTCTAGAACTACTGAGACTAAACCTAGAATACTGAGAACTATTTCATTATCACCTGCATCAGCCCATCCCGTAGTGAACACTATTAGCATCCTATTTGTCAGGTGAGAATAAACAAAAGCCCCACTGATGATATCTTATAAAATAAAATATTTACTCATTTCCTTTGATAATCCAGTAATGTTTCCTTCATCATAAGTTTATGTCTTGAATACTTCAAGACATGTACTTTTTAAAAAAATTTTAATACAATTTTTGAAGGTTACTCTCCATTTACAGTTATTAGAAAATATTGGCCATATTCCCCGGTATTGTACAATACATCCTTGTAGCCTATCTTATATCCAATAGTTTGTGACTCCCACTGCCCCACCCCTATATCCCCCCCACACTGGGAACCACTAGTCTGTTCTCTGTATCTGTGAGTCCGCTTCTTTTTTGTTATAGTCACTAGTTTGTTGTATTTTTTAGATTCCACATATAAGTGATATCATACAGTATTTAAGACATGCATTTTCTAAAAGCACATTCATAATAAAAAATAATAGTTTAAAATAAATTAGTCCTGGAGATGGACCAATGTCCACACATTTGGAATTCTCTGGATCCTGAAAATTAATCATTTTTCTAATTATGTAATTTAAAAGATTAGAGGTATAGCATAACATATAGTTCTTCTTCATCTCCCAAACTTTAAAACTCTGGAGTGGCTCAGGACATAGTCCATAAGCCACTTCCTTTTTTCTATCCATACTTACTCTCTTGGTGATCTCATCTAGTCTCAAGGCTTTAAATATCATTTATAGGCTAGATCTTGAATTTATATCTCCACCTCAGATCTTTGTCTTCATCTCTCAGCTTACACTCAAACTTAGGTTGACCAAAACTAAACTCCTAACCATCTCCCCAAAACCTTTCCCACCCAGAATCCCTCCCATACTTCAGGCTGCTCAAGCCCAAACCCCTGAAGTCATCCTTGTTTCCTCTTTTTCTCTCACAACCACATCTAATCTTTCAGTACATTGTGTTGGCTCCACCTCAATATACATGCAGAATTCCACCACTTCCTACCAACCATATTGCCACCACGAGGGTCCAAACCACCATACCCACTAAACAAAATTATTTCAGTAGCCTCCTAACCGGTATTCATGCTCTTACGTTGGCCCTCCTCTCAGCATCTATACAGTATCCAGAGTGATTTTGTAAAAACAGAAGTCAGATCATGTTACTCTTCTGCTCAAAACTCTCCAATGGAAAATAGAAGTTTTAAAAAATACCTTCTAGGGCTTCTCTGGTGGTGTAGTGGTTGAGAGTCCGCCTGCCGATGCAGGGGACATGGGCTCGTGCCCCGGTCCGGGAAGATCCCACATGCCGCGGAGCGGCTGGGCCCGTGAGCCATGGCCGCTGGGCCTGCGCGACCGGAGCCTATGCTCCGCAACGGGAGAGGCCACAACAGTGAGAGGCCCAGGTACCACAAAAAAAAAAAAAAAAAAAAACACAAAAACCTTCTATAATAGTATAAAAATACAAATACTTAGGGATAAATATGGCAAAAGATGTGTAAGACATACAATGAGAACTACAAAACACTGCTGAGAAATTAAAGATCTAAATAAATGTAGAGGTATACTGGGTAAATGGAATGGAATACTCAATACTGTTAAGATGTCAATATTCCCCAAACTGATCTATCAATTCATTGTAATCCCAAAAAAGATTCCAGCAGAGTTTTTCCTTTTTTGGTAGAAATTAACAAGCTGATTCTAAAATTCATAGGGAAATGCAAAGAACAAAGAACAGCTGAAACAACTTTGAAAAAGAACAAAGTTGGAGAACTAATACTACCTGCTTTCAAGATCTATCATAAATCAACAATAAACAAAACAGTCTAGTATTGGTGTAAAGATAGAAAAATTAGATCAATGTAACAGAATAGAGTGTCCATAAATAAATAAACCTATATACATACAGAAAACTGATTTTTGACAAAGGTGCAAAGGTAACTGAAGGGAGAAAATACAGACTTTTCAATAAACGGTGCTGGAATAATTGGATGTCCGTATGGAAAAAAAAAAACCTTGTCCATATCACATCATATACAAAAGTTTAAAATGGATCATACAGGAATAAAGACGCAGATGTAGCGAATGGACTTGAGGACACGGGGAGGGAGAAGGGTAAGCTGGGACGAAGTGAGAGAGTGGCATGGACATATATACACTACCAAATGTAAAACAGATAGCTAGTGGGAAGCAGCCGCATAGCACAGGCAAATCAGCTCAGTGCTTTGTGACCACCTAGAGGGGTGGGATAGGGAAGATGGGAGGGAAGGAGACGCAAGAGGGAGGAGATACAGGGATATATGTATATGTATAGCTGATTCATTTTGTTATAAAGCAGAAACTAACACACCATTTTAAAGCAATTATACTCCAATAAAGATGTTTAAAAAAAGTATATATAAACATTTTTAAAAAATGGATCATAGACCTAAATGTAAAACCTAAAATGTCTAGAAGAAAACAAAGGAGAAAATCTTTCTGACTTTGAGCTAGGAGAGATTACTTAGATATGACATCAAAAGCACAATCCATAAAAGAAAGAAAATGGATAAATGGTACTCCATCAAAATTAAAAATGTCTGCTCTTCAAGAGATGCTTTAAGAGAATGAAAAGACAAACCACAGACTTGGAGAAAATATTTGCAAAGCATATATTTGAGAAAAGACTTGTATCCAGAATATATAAAGAACTCCCAACACTGAATAATAAGAGAACAATCCAATAAGAAAATGAACAAAAGATATGGATAGACATTCACCAAAGATATTCAGATGCCAAATAAGCACATTAAAAAATCCTCAACATCCTTAGTCATTAGGGAAATGAAAAAAACAACCAACCAACCTCCAATGGCTTCTCTTCTCACTGCAGAGTAAAAGCCAAGTCCTTTCAATGATCTACAAAGTCTTCCATGATCCACTCACCCCACTTCATCCCCTACTGCTCTCCTTGCTCCAGCTACACTCATCTCCTTGCTGTCCCTTCAAGATCATGGCATGTTCCTCTCTCAGGCCTTTGCATCTGCTAATTTTTTATGCCTAAAAACCATTCCCCCCAGATATTCATACATCTTGGTCCCTCACTTCCTTCAAGCCTTTACTTCAAATGTCACTATTTCAGTGAGACCTGTCCTGGACACTCAAAAATTGTAAAACCACCCTCTCCACACATTTCTTCTTTTTCTTCTGTTTTTTTTCTACTTAACATGTGGCACCAGCATACTATATAGTATACTAATTTATCTTATTTAGTGTGTTTCCTGCACCATAACTCGATGAAGGTAGAGATACCAAACTTTGGTATCCCCAATGTCTGGCATATAGTGTGCACTCAAATATTAAATAAACAAATGAATCATGGTATTTTATCTTAATTCGGACCCTAGAAACAACAGCCTAGCTGAGAATTCCACATAGAACCTTGACTCGGGGTTATACCAATTCTGAAGAGTTCTGAACCACAAGAGAGCCTAGAAAATTCAGAGCCCTGGTACTCACCTGATGGGCTGTACTTGAGGTCATTTAGCAGAGAAGTGGTTGGTGCCTCAGAGGCAGGAGAAGCAGGCTTATATACATTTATGTCTTCATCTTTTATTGTATCCATCCTGTTTCTTTCTGTATTTAGACTATGCTTATAAAAAACAACACTTAGGTGAGCTTGTTCTTTGTTGTTAATGCCATACACACATCAGTGGTAAGGACTCTGGATCTTTCATAGAGAACCCATTCATCCACTGTTTACACTGATTTGAAGATACCATCTAAAGATGGAAGGAAACATCCACCTATTTCTTCTCATGTTAGGAATTACACAGCTAGTGAATTACAGTTAAGGCTTTCTACCCTAATGTGTACATCTGGGTAACATCATAATTAAGAAAATCATTCCATCATACCTAACAGAAGATGCCTTTTCTCTTACTGCACCTTGTTCTTCTTCATCCAGTAGTTCCACTGTAAAATAACCAAACGGCTTCCAACAGGACTTCCAATATGAAAGCAGTTAACTATCCCTCTGTCCCCTCCACACCCACAGTTTGATTATGTAACATAGACAGTAATTGGGAATGAAATGTTAGTCCATAGAGCCTTCATCGGCCAGCAATAAATAGAGCAGAAAAGACTATCCAAAGTACTGAAGACCCCTAATCTTACATCCCTACATAGCTTCCTTGGTCATTTAGCAGGATTAGGAACCTCTCTACATATCCACTTTACCCTTTTTGTTCCGGGACACCTTTGTGGTCATGCAGAATGGTTCTAGAGATATCTTTTCTTTCCTATTTATTCCCATCCTAATGCATTTTCCTTCACACTATGTACTGTTAGGGGGTTTTCTCTCAAATCATTCACACTGTCCCTTCCACTTTCTCAGGCTGGTGCATTAACAGTTCAGTGATGTGAAAGGTAATAAAAGCTAGACTGGAAATCACAAAATAAATATGAGATAAACATTCCACAGAGACTCTGAAACCATTTATTTTTAACCTAACAGTTCACGGAATACAGGGAAATATTGTATATCATTGATTCTAAGATGCACATTTTCAACAACTCTGAAATTGGATATGATTTACGGTAAATGCACATGATAGTTTAATTGGCAGCTTCTTTTTCTTTCTTAGGGTGGGAAAAGAAATAATGCACATTGTCATTAATGGCATCTAAGATTCAATTAAGTACCCTTAGGTACTTTTCATGGAAAAAGTTTCTCAGGGGCAACTATGTTTCAAATGTCTCTTTCTCCTACACTGTCTAGAAGTGTTGAGTCTGGGTCAGAGAAAGTAAATTCACTAAAAACTCGGATTAATCAATTATTATCCTTTATCTTGATAACTCTTATTCAAGGTGCTTTTCAGGGAGAACCCTCTATGGCTGATTGAGCCACAGGGCAAAGAAAGAAGAAGAAGGCCATCCTTTGAGCCTAGAAATTATAAACAAAGGCCAAGTCCTGAGAATGAATTTAGGAAGAAATGAATCCATGTGTACAGATCACAAAGCTGGTCAGTGGTCAGCCTTCTCCTGAGTTAGGAAATAGTAGTAGTAATTCCTTCATTTTTCTTTACAGACTCATCCACAGCCTAGCTTTGTTCCAGTCCAGAGCTCTGTTCTACTGCAAAGTCTAACAGTTAACACACAATTAACAATCGCTCTACTTCCACCACCATCACTGCCATTTTTAAAAGGTGCTCAAGGGACAAAGAGTGTTTACAGTAGCGTACTCAGTAAGAAATGACAGTTATATAAGCTGGCTGGGGACTTCCCTGGTGGTCCCGTGGCTAAGACTCCACGTTCCCAGAGCAGAGGGGCCTGGGTTCGATCCCTGGTCAGGGAACTAGATCCCACAGGCCTCAACTAAAGATCCCACATGCCGCAACTAAAGATCACGCATGCCACAACTAAAGATCATGCATGCCACAACTAAAATATCCTGCATGCCACAATTAAGACCTGACGTAGCCATAGAAAGAAAGAAAGAAATACTAAAAAAAAAAAAAAAAAGCTGGCTGGACTTGTCTACTTTAAAGTAGGTCTTGATTGGCAGGAGTCCTTTCCTTTCCTCATATCTGCCCCAACGGTAAGAAATGCACAGTTCTATGAGGTCCCAGCTCACCCGTTCCGCCACCCCCCTCCACCCCACACTGATATTCACTCCTCCTTGGAAGCCTTTTTGCTTTTGAGTTCTTGAAAGAAAGAATAGCTCTTGTTCCTAACCCTTTTCTCTTACCCCATTTGGCTTGTCTGAAGCACACTGACCAGATGAGCTTCTATAGCTCTTCCTTTAGGCAAACAATTGTATCTATTCTTGCTAAATTGTTTTAGCTGGCAGAAATAAAGAACAGGGCTACTTCCCACAAAGGTCTGAAAACCAAAAATTCTTTGTAACTCTTTTGGCAGCAAAACCTGAACTGACATACTATTTACAGTCCTATTTTATTCCACTTAGTATGATTATCCATCCGTTTCTCTGTAGAAATGTGTTTTATTACGGAGTGCTGACCAGACCCACTTGAGGTGTTATGTAATATGACCAGTATATACCCTTTGTTAGCTTTTTGAAAAATCCAGAACTAGCCTGAGATCTGAAACATTTGGCCCCAAGGTTTCAAATAAGGGACTGTGAAAGTACTGTGAGTGTCTGGTGTTAAATCCGCTTGCTGAGCAAGACAGTTCCTTTCTTTCTTTTTTTTAAAAATTTATTTATTTAATTAATTTATTATTTTTTTGCTGCATTGGGTCTTCGTTGCCGTGCACGGGCTTTCCCTAGTTGTGGCGAGCGGGGGATACTCTTCGTTGAGGTGCATAGGCTTCTCGCTGGGGTGGCTTCTCTTCTTGAGGTGCATGGGCTCCAGGACTGCAGGCTTCAGTTGTTGTGGCACAAGGGCTGGGCTCAGTAGTTGTGGCTTGCAGGCTCTAGAGCACAGGCTCAGTAGTTGTGGTGCACGGGCTTAGTTGCTCCATGGCACGTGGGATCTTCCCGGACCAGGGATCAAACCTGTGTCCCCTGCATTGGCAGGAAGATTCTTAACCACTGCACCACCAGGGAAGTCTGACAGTTCCTTTCTGTTCAGATTCCTAACTCTGCCTGCGAGCTGAGTCTCTAGTACTGAGTACCAGATGTCCTCACATTGTAAAACCAACATGATTAAAATTCTCTACGACTGTTCTGCTCATAGTACCTCCCGAAACAGTAAGATAAGGGACAATTCCCAAATACCAGCTTTAAGAGTTCATAAATGCAAGATAACATCTTAGTTTTCCCTCCAACCCCCAAACACTGAAATGAGGCAGAGCAATGAGTTTATTGCTACTGCAAATCCCGATACCAGCATTTAGGGAACATGAAGTTCTCACCATTCACAATCTCGTGTCCAAAAAACATCTTCACTCCTGGGACACTTCGATCAGTCTCCACATTCTTCACTGTTATAGAAAACAATTCATTTGGTTGATAAAAAGTAATATTCCCTAAAACTATAAGAAAATATGTCTCACAAAAGTGCCCAAATTTGAGTTTTATAAAAATCCCTAAATTATCTTCCCCAAGGAATAAAAAGCCAATAATAAATTACAAAGCTATAACCTTGAAACAAGTAGTATAAAGAACAGAGGGAACACCAGATACACTAAAAGGTGGTCCAAGATACACTAAAAGGGCAGTAGTAGTACACTGAATTTAAACTTCTTCCAAAAATATTCTAAGGCCTTTGGGGCTAAGGATTATCTACTTACTATATTTCTACTGATTTTTACTCCACCTAACTCCAGAAAAAAACAAGTCATCTGACTACTTCTAGAGTCCACACCCTGTTTCATGTCACTCTACATGCTTGAGCTATTAATTGTCAGAGACAACAATCCAACTCCTGGCCCAATTACAGGCTCTTCTATGAGTAGGTAAGGGAGTTGGGAGAAGTTTATTTGTCATGTTTACAATACAGTGTCATTTTTTTCTAGATGGCAGTGCTCACAGCAGCTGTATATTTCCACATTTCTCAGCAATCCAAAACAAATGAGTTTTACCTTCACTAGTCCACTGAACATATTCTTACATAGGTCAAAGATCACCAACTGCCTATTTGTCAAATCCCCAAAAAGTTTACAATCTTATACTTGGTTCCCATGCATCCACTGACAATACTGTTCTCTCCTTTCTTCTTTGGCTTACAGGACACTCTTTTTTTTTTCTCTCTCTTTTTTTGCGCGGTACGCGGGCCTCTCACTGTTGTGGCCTCTCCCATTGCGGAGCACAGGCTCTGGACGCGCAGGCTCAGCAGCCATGGCTCACAGGCCCAGCCGCTCTGCGGCACGTGGGATCTTCATGGATGGGGGCACGAACCCGTGTCCCCTGCATCGGCAGGCGGACTCTCAACTACTGCCCACCAGGGAAGCCCTACAGGACACTCTTAGTGTTTATTTCTTTTCCTACTAATTATCTAAAGCCACCACACTGAGCACCCACTCCAAACCAGGCATCTTGCTAATTATTTGCCTGTGTTTGACTATCCAGTAACATAATGAGATAGGTATTTCAACTATCTCCATTATGGAGGAATTTGAGGCTCAGAAAGGTTGAATAACCTGCTCAAGGTCACACTACTAGTAAAAGACAGAGTCAGGATTCAAAACCAGGCCTCAATGATTTTAATAAACATCTTGTAACCAGTGTTCCACTGTCTCCCTGATTTCCTCCTTCCAGTCTCCTTAGCTGTCTCTACCACCACCGCTTGCCCCTTACACATTGATAATCCCTAGGGTGATATTCTTCATGCTTCTTCCTTCTCCTTGAATGATCACATCAACTTCCTAGTTGTCCTGACATACATTATTTCTCCAGTATGGATTATTTCTCTGAGCTCCACTGTCATTTTCAACTAATAGCAGACTTACTGCATTATTTTTCAAATTGATCATTATCTTCTTCCACTAACCAACAAACCTGTTCCTCTTCCCATTTCTATCAATTAATAACAGTATTATACACATAATCTGAGTTATAAATGTAGGAGGCTCTTTGACTATCTAATTCAGCAGTCCCCAACCTTTTTGGCACCAGGGACCGGTTTCGTGGAAGACAATTTTTCCATGGGCTGGGGTGGGGGGATGGTTTCGGGATGATTCAAGCACATTACATTTATTGTGCACTTTATTTCTATTATTATTACATTGTAATATGTAATGAAATAATTACACAACTCACCATAATGCTGACAGGAGGTGGAGCTCAGGCAGTGCAAGTGATGGGGAGCGGCTGTAAATACAGATGAAGCTTTGCTCGCTCGCCTGCCATTCACCTCCTGCTGTGCAGCCTGGTTCCTAACAGGCCATGGACCAGTACCGGTCTGTGGTCTGGGGACTGGGGACCCCTGATCTAATTGATTACTAGGTTACTTATCCTCACTCCTAAGCATTTCTAGAATCTGTCTTCTCTACTCCATTCCCTGCCAAACCTTAGCTCTGACTCCCATCATTTCCTCTTTATTGGGTCCCTTGATTGTCTGAACAGTTCCCTGTCTATTCTCCTTGTCTCTAGTTTATTGCTACTTCAAACCTTCCTTCATGCTGCTGTCATAGTGATGTCACTCCCTGCTTTGTCCAAATGGTACATAAGTTAGTAAGCAGGTGTAACAGTTCCACCATCAATTCCTCCTTTGGGAAGCCTTCCCCACTGTCCTAACCCTACCATTCTCAGATCTAAATTAGCTGAAATTCTGTGTTTCCACAGCATCTTGTGCGTCCCTCTATCACACAGGGTATCACACTGCATTACACCTTTCTACTTGTTTACCTGTCTCCTTACTAGACAAAGTTTTTTGAGGACAGAGACCATGTTATTCTTATCCATATCCCTGGTACCCCGCACAGTGCCTGGGATATAAAACTCAGTAAATGATTACCAAATGAATTAATATTGCAAAAGCCTGGTATAGTCCCATCCTAGCCTACAAAAGTCTATTTTAACTCATAATATGGCTTAACAATAACACTAATCTCTCAAATGTCATTTACACGTTTCAACTGTGAACTTGAAATTTATTGTGCCAGGAAATCAACTACTCTTAACAAGTCAATATTCTAGCTGAATAAAAACTATATATTGGGGCTTCAAGGTGAGCACGTGGAGGAGGCTAAGAGGGTGGCATGCCTAGAGAGGGTAGAAACTCTGAGCCCCTTCCCACATACCTTGCCCTATAAATCTCTTCCATCTGGCTGTTCCTGAATTTTATCCTTTAAAAATGAATTGGAATTGAAACTGGGAGGTGTAAAGGCTACCTTGTGACCAGGAGGATAACACATGGTCGCTGAGGTGGCAGAGCAGGAGCACAAGACACCTGATCCCTCCTGGCATCTTTCAGCCACTGCACTATTCCTCAGTAGTCTACCTCTGGGCTTCTTTTTGCATGAGAAAAATTAACCCCTTACAGTCTTTGTGAATTTGTCTGTTGAAGCCAAAAGCAATTCTAATACAGTGGTTATTTTTAATTTCAGGGTGCATATGGAGAGAAATTAAAAGAAGTACCCAGTTAAAAAAAACTCTCTATATTGAAAATTTCCACTATCATGTCAATAAAAGTATAGAAGTGGGGACAAGCCAGCATATGCAGCCACGTTGCTCTGTTAGGGAAAACAGCATTCTAATCCTCCTCCCACCCTTTCCCTAAAATAGGAATAATGCCACTCTCCCAGTTGCTAAGCGAGCGCAGAACCATCACCCAAACTGAGTTATTAGTCTCCTAAAAGGCAGGAGATTATGAGAAATAAAATGAGACCTTTCTTCAGGACAACAATCTTGTTAGGGTCCACATGCTGGAGCACTCCCTCAAAGATGCCACAAACCAATGTGAGTTTCACTCTTCTCCACAAAATCTGATTGAGGAAATGGTAGTCACTGGTGGGATCCATGCTATTTGATTCCAGAAGGAGTCTTCAAATAATCTTCTTTAAGTATCCAAACCCTTGAAAATAAAAGAGATCTATGATTTTTTAAATATTTTGGGGAAAATGGGGTTACTTTTCCTTTCCCCATACCTGGGATAAGAAAAATTAAAATATTAGAGAAATTCAATTCTGTTTATCTTTTTAGAATGATAATGAGAAAAATATCATTGCAAGCACCAACTCTAATTTATACATGGGAAACTGAAAAGTTACGACTTCAGGCAAGGGCTTCCCTGGTGGTGCAGTGGTTGAGAATCTGCCTGCCAATGCAGGGGACACAGGTTCGAGCCCTGGCCTGGGAGGATCCCACATGCCGCGGAGCAACTGGGCCCGTGAGCCACAACTACTGAGCCTGCGCGTCTGGAGCCTGTGCTCCGCAACAAGAGAGGCCACAACAGTGAGAGGCCTGCGCACCGCGATGAAGAGTGGACCCCGCTTGCCACAACCAGAGAAAGCCCTCACACAGAAACGAAGACCCAACACAGCAAAAATAAATTAATTAATAAACTCCTACCCCCAACATTTTTTAAAAAAAAAAAAAAGACTTCAGGCAAGGTGGGTTTGACGTCTTTGTCTATAAAATGGCCTAATATCACTTTTCCTTCCTTAGCTAAATGGAATAAGAAGAACATTTAGAGGCTTTTTAATAGCACATGCATACATCATTTTAACAGCAACCAAAAAAACTAAAAGAACAAATGAAAAAAAATGATATTGGCAAACACCTGCCAACACATTGCAATAAATTGTTTACCCAGAAACGTCTGGGATCTAACCTCTTCTAGATGAAGCCTCTTCTAGGTTAATCACATTTCCAGAGTTTCACACTGTAACCAACCAAAGAATAAGTGACTTAGAACTATCACAATTTACGCATTACCAATCCAGCTGCCATGTCACTGCGAGGGCCATTCCACCCCACCCTGGCCACAGCTCAGGGACTGGGCTGCTGTAATGTCACCAGTCATGTGCAGCCTGACAGATTAACTGACACATGCCACACACTGGTTTTGTAAAATTCAACTGTTTTTGTAAAAATGATGCATGCTTATAAAAAGGATAACAATGAGAAATGTACAAAGAAAAAACTTTTATCTTGCAGAAATAGCTATCATTCAAAGTAGACACTCTTATAATCCTTAGTGTAATACTGTAAATTAAAAGATAAAAAAAAAGATGAATCCTTTTCTTAAAAAGTATCTTTTAGAACAATCCTGTTATTCGGATGTCTTTGTATTTAGAACCTCAGCTAAGTGTTCCTCCACAGTGGTTAAATTTAAAAGTGGCTTGCCTTTGCCCCACTTGGAATAGTCAACCAGTGAATTTTGCAATTTAGTTTAACTATAAAACACTGACTAAATAACTAAGGCCCAATTTGACTAGGAAGAGGTGAGACGTTACATAGCATTTTTAACCAGATAAATAACTTACACTTTAATATTTTAAGGTCTAGCAAGTGCCTTCACAACTATTATTTGTTGCCTACAACAACTACCTAATTTACAGATGTAGAAACTGAGGCTTAAAGGTTTAAGACACCTGCCCAAAGTTACACAGCTAGAAGGTAATGGAACCTGAACTAAAACCAGGTCCTTAGTGGAGGATGTGTGCAGTCTAGTGCAAGACAAAGTGTTAAGCATCCAGAAAGAACAGAAAACAAGTCACCAGAGTGCCTGGAAAAATCATTCTTCTTTGTTCAAGTCAATCCAACTGGTAAAAGGGGAATTTTTACAGAAATAAAAGAAAACATAAAACTGGAAAAAACAGCCCTTGATAGAGGTAAAAATTAATTTATATTTTTAAAAGATACATAAGAAATAAGCTTGTGAAATGCCTGGGTAATAAAGAAATTTAAGAAATGTTAAAGTAAATCAGAAAAACATTAACACAAAGCAAAGCGCCGACTGAGGATAGTTGCAAAAGGTTAAGATTCAAGATTAGGGGCTTCCCTGGTGGCGCAGTGGTTGAGAGTCCGCCTGCCGATTGCAGGGGACACAGGTTCGTGCCCCGGTCCGGGAAGATCCCACATGCCTCAGGAGCGGCTGGGCCCGTGAGCCATGGCCGCTGAGCCTGCGCGTCCGGAGCCTGTGCTCCGCAACGGGAGAGGCCACAGCAGTGAGAGGCCCGCGTACCGCAGAAGAAAAAAAAAAAAAGATTCAAGATTAGGAAGGAGCGAGTAAGGTCAGGACCTAGAGATGGGCTTCAAGACAGACTCAGAAAATGGACATTCACCTCGGTGACATCACAGGTTTTTCTACCATACTTACGCTCTCAGAATAAAAAGAAGGTCCTGTGGCCTAGATGGGCATATCCAACATGTCACACTCTGCTTATTCAGGCAGACATCATTAGGTCAGACAAAAGTAAGTCTATCGTGAAAACAATTCAGTAAGACTAGAACCTCAGTATCCTTGCTAAGCCGTCAAAGCCTTAGGTAAAGCTTTAATCCAGTAACCTAAATTGACGTGACCAGCTCGCTAATACAGGGTTCTAGTGCTTAAGTACTACGCGATAGCGGTCAGAATTTGGTTCTTCCATAACTCAAACCAGTTCTGTACAAAGTAACACTCGAGGGGTGGGTAAGGGGTGTAAAGGCACTGAAGCCACAGGAAAAGAACTGGTTCACCTTAAAGGGTGTACTAATTTAACGGGTGGCTTTAAATGTTTTCAAGAAAACAAACAAAAATATGCCACAGGAGCAAAATGCAAATTTCCTCGTTTTTAAGGCAAAATAAGAAACTTCAAATAAACGGTGGGCCATACGCTAGAAATTCTCTCCTCCGCCGTTAGGTTTGTTTTTCTTTTTCCTCCGACGAAAGTTTGGGAAATCTTGTCTCTATTTCAGCCAAATGGTGAGTTCCTCGAGCTTCAGTCTTGAAGTGAAAAAAGAGGGACTTTTGTTAAGGAAAAACTTTCGGGGAGTTCCAAGCCCGCGGTGGCGGTTGTCAAAGGACAGCCCCGAAAACTAAAGTACGCAGCGCCGGGAACCCACTCTACAGGTCGGACGCCAGCCGGCCTGAAACAGAGGTCCCGGCTGTTTCCCGAGGAGCCAATCGGCGCGCGGTCCCGAGGCTGGCTCCCGAGCGCCCCTTGCGGCCGAGAGGAGAGAGGGCCCCAGGAAGAATCAGGAGGTGCAACTCCCAGCATGCAGTTCCCGGGAGACACACCCTAGCGTTCACCCAAAAGACGTTTTGTCTGTTTTTATTGTTTCTCTCCGCAGTCCATGCCAACCGTAGGGTGGGATTTCTAGTGTAAGAGTTCTGTGAGAAACAGGTTGGCTACACCGCCTGCCACACGTTATTGTGTTGTAAAACAGTGGGTCAATGGCGTTGCCCTTTTAATTGCGGGCGCTAGGGTCAGAATTGCCCCTTTAAGGCCGGTGGCATCATGTTTCCGGGGGCGTGGCCCGTCTTTAGCTAGACCCGGCCCGGCGCTGGGCTGATTCATTCGGGGGCTGGAGCTAGGAACGTCGACGTCGGGTCCGGCGCTGAGCTCAGCCTCATTCCCAATTGGCTGGGCCTCCGGGCCGCCCTCCCCCGCGCGCCACCCCTGGGTTCCCTTCCCAGTCCACAGTAGAACCACTGCCCTCTCCCTTCTTGACCCCTGGCTCTTCCTCCCCTTCTTCCCTCCCTACCGCCGCCGCTGTCGCTTCTGGCGCCGCTGCTCCCGGAGGAGCTCCCGGCTCGGTGATGGGGTCCCGGGCCTCCACGTTACTGCGGGACGAAGAGCTCGAGGAGATCAAGAAGGAAACTGGCTGTGAGTTCGGGTAGGGGGTGGGAACGCGGCCGAGCGCCTCCGGTTGGCCTCAGGACCAAGGGCGACTGTCGCTGAGGTCTGGAGATGAGGTCCTGGGAGGTTGGGGGTGTCCTGGGCAGCCTCCAGCGCTGGAGCTTCGGGGATGATGGAGGACCTGTTCTTAAGCTACAGCTACCTGGAGCAGGGCAGTGCCTCTTGTGGGGCTGTCCTTCCCACCAAAGGCGGGAGTCCTGATCACCCGTAGATCACTGATCCCGCTCTTTTCTCTTCCCCCTGCTCTTGACAAGCCCCCCGAACTCTTTTCCTTTATCTTTCCTCGCACCAACCTCAAATTCAGGAACTGTGGATGCATTCTGTAGAAAACATTCTGTCCTTTCCCGTGACGTTTCTGGGCAAGGATTTAAAACCACTGACAATTGTGGGAAATCAAACAAATTCTTGCCACAACCGGAAAAATAAATCCAGAAAGTGAGATCGTACAGTAAGGCTTTGGAAGACTGGACGGGACACCTTAAAGAATCAGGGGTCTGAATATGAGACTTCTTTCATTCTGAGCTTGTGGAGAGAAAGCACGGATAATGTGACTACCAGTTTTTTATTTACAGTGAGGATGCTTGCTGTCCTAATTTCAGATCTATTGATTTCTACTATGCTGGGATACTTCATGCAGTCGCCGTGGAAATTGGATATGCTCCAAAAACCTCAGTGTGAATTTGTACTAGGAACTGATTTTTTACAGTCCAGTCTCTTCCTCATTAACTGGAAAGGGGCAACAGAGTTTTGGGAATTCAGAAGCCCGGTAAAACACCATCATACATTTGTGTAGTCCTTGATAATGCATACATTATTTTCTCTTCTCAGTAATTCATTATGACTCTTGTATTTTACATGAGTTATGTAAACATCTGGGCCCTGAGTCTTCATGATACCTGTCTTTGATAATGAGATGACCAGTAAATAACTCAGTGGTCCATTCGCAGATAATATTGAGTGCTGGGGGAACCTCAGAATTATTCAGGCAGTGGTGGCCTGAGATAAATTAAATGCTGTCCATGCTTTCTGACAAGTTCAACTTTCTAGAATCTTCAAGTTGGAAGGGGTGTTATCTAGCCTCATCCCTTGTCAGATTGGTTTACTGCTTTCAGCATCTCCTAACTTACCATCATTAAGCCTCTCCATAAAGACTTTAAGGACCTCACCGCCTACCAATGTAGTCCTTTGGATGATTTTGAATGAATGACAGAAAGTAGTTAGCTGTTTATAATGTGCAGTACTTATTTGGCCACTTGACCTTATGGTCATTTTATGACTTACCCTGACTCCAAGAGTAGAAACGTAGGCAGTTTGGATTCAGCAAGCATTTTATTACATTTTGTGGTTATGACCTCTGGCCACACTTTTGAGAACATAAGAACTACTGTAGGTCTAAGGTGACACCAGAGTTAAAGCATTCATGCTTAAAATTAAAAGTCACATAATGGGGGAGTGTAAACCAGAGTGAGGGTGGGAAAAGGCTATTTTTACCTCAAGAGGAAGGGAGCAATAATCTCATTCTGGTTTTATTACATTTGACCAAATGAAAGTGGCCTCAACTGCCTTAGGACTCTGCATTATATTTTACTGTGTGACCTTGTGAGAACTGAGTACTCCTGTAGAACTATTTTCCTAGTTGCCGAAAAGTGAATCAAGCCTGAGGGAGAGTCTCAGCCACAACCAGTACAAATGTATGTATTGAGCCAGAAAGCCTAATGAAACAAGTACTTATTGAATTTTTGCAACGTCTGTATTCAGTACGATACTGGGTACTCAAAGCAGATGGTGACAAAAGATGCTCACAAACCTGTCATAGAGATAAGCCCACAGGAGTTAGGATTAGCATCAGGACATATAGGGTACCTGAAATTGTGTGGCACCTCTTTCAGAACTCAGGGAAGAGTCCTTGTGAGCTGGCTTTGAGGAGGACAGGAATTGGGCCTTGATTCATGCATGAATTGATTAGATTTGGATAAATTAACCTAGGGCATTTTGGGTGGCTTCCAGGTGCTTTCTCCCCCAGTATGCTACCTGTCATTCTTCTGCTCTGGGAGTTGAGCCATCAATTTATCCAGTTAGTGCCGATCAGCAGAGTTGATTTTTAAAGCATTAATCTTAGCATGATGCAAAAGGTTTAGAAGAATAAAAACAGCGGATACCTGAGGGTCGGGTAGAGAGGTGGAATTAGTCCTGTTTTCCTCTGCTTCTTGTTGTTAAGAGTTTGGGGAACTATCAATCAGAAACACTTCAAGTTAAGAACAAATATAAGACATTTCTTTACTCGCTTTGCCAGTGAGAAAATGTAGCATGATTGAGTAAAACTGACTTTATATTCAGTATGAAAGCTTTGCATTCATAAGTCTAAATTGATTAGAATTCATGTATGACTAGGTTATCCGGTATTTGAAATTTAATCTCTAAGTGTTTGGAAAAGTAATTCTAAGTAAGAATTCCTTGTAAGCCTCAACTTTGTCATCTGTAAATGGGAATAATAATAGTACCTACTTTATAGGATTCCTAGTGAGAATAAAATGAGAAAAATGTAAACTACTTAGAATAGTGTCTGGGTATGTAATGAGCACCAGGTGTTAGCTATTACCTTTTGAACCACAGATAACAATCATCTTATTGGGAAAATACCATTAGCATATGCTAGTTATAAAAACTTTGTCTAGAGCTATATAACTGGAGAGGTGATGGCATTTTACACTTTTCCTATTTTCAGGGGATATTGGATTAGGAATCATGTTTTCCCAATTCTAAGGAAATAAAACTTCGAAAGGAGTAGAAATCCTGTTTTTTCTAACAGTTTGAAAAACACTGTCTAAAAACACTTTGTGTTGGCGTAAAACATTTGCTATATTGTCTTAGTTCTATCACCTTCTTTCACTCGTCAACATTTCCATAAATTAAAATCATTTCAATAAAAGTTGTCATTAAGGGAAAGGTCATAAGTGTCTTGGGAGTTTCTGTATGCTCCACCTTTAGTTCACTTAACTGTGTGGTAATAACCTGGCTGGGAATTACTTAAAACCTTTTAAAAAAAAATAGCCACATAATCTGTGAGAAACAACTCATGCCAACTGAGTAGTAATAAATGCCGATTGATTTATTTTTAGCCTCTACCTTCTGGTGTGTGTCATGTGACATGGCAAAGATATTGAACAGGTTTGGGAAGTACGTTTTACAGGCCAGTGAGGTTTTGTTTGTTTGAAAGGGTGTAGTGATGATAGAACTAGTGTGGGTTTCTCTGTAGTTGCAGCAAAGAGCACAAGACAGGCAAAGGCAATTGCTTGAGAATAATTTCCTGGGCTAGAATGTAAGTGGAAGTTCAACTTCAGGCTGCTCCTGCCTCAAAATGCAGAACCCCTTCATGGCCCTCATCTGCCTTGCCATAGTGCCTGAAGGTTCTGTCACTACAGAAGACCCTGCTGCTGTCTTCCAGCTCCTATTTTTTTATTTTTGGCTGCGTTGGTCTTCTTTGCTGTGGGCATGCTTTCTCTAGTTGCAGCAAGAGGGGGCTACTCTTCGTTGCGGTGCACAGGCTCCTCATTGCGGTGGCTTCTCTTGTTGCGGAGCACGGGCTCTAGGCGCGTGGGCTTCAGTAGTTGTGGCATGTAGGCTCAGTAGATGTGGCTCGTGGGCTCTAGAGTGCAGGCTCAGTAGTTGTGGCGCACGGGCTTAGTTGCTCCGCAGCATGTGGGATCTTCCCAGACCAGGGCTTGAACCTGTGTCCCCTGCATTGGCAGGCGGGTTCTTAAACACTGCGCCAGCGGGGAAGCCCTATATATATTTTTTTGGTGAACCATTTTAAAGTTGCAGATATTAGAACCCTACACCCCTTAAGCATTCTGCATGTATCTCCTGAGAATAGGGATTTTTTTCCCTACATAACTAGAATACTATTATCACACCTAAGAAAGTTGACAATAATTCTATAAATATTATCTATCATTCAGTCCATATTTAGACATCCCCAGTTATAAGAAAGTTTTTGTTTTTGTTTTTAATCTCTTTTAAGTCTCTTAATCTATAGGTTTCCTGAGAGAGTAGGCCAGCTCTTGAAGTCCTCTTGCCAGAGGAAATGCGAAATATTGGGGTGTGGAGTGTTCAGGAGGAATGGTTAGGGGTACAGGCTTCAACCTCTCAATCTTTTGAGAGTTACCTTCGGTTGCACGTATATGCTTTACCTAGGTTATTAATCTGTTCTTCTGTGTTAAGATTTAGGAT